CACCTACTATATATATATATATATATATATATAGATGAAAGATAATACAAAACGCCTATAGGCGAAAATAAACAGTGATTTCGTCTACCCTCATCATCGTCTAAAGTTCATCGCACGGTCACGATTGTCCGATAGTGTTTCATTTTTCATTTTTTTTTCTACAAATTGGAATGACCTGAAATTTGGAGCGCGTGTTTATAAAAAATAGACTAATCTACAAAAAATATCAAAAAAATATTTTACACGAAAAAAATTAACCAAAACACCCCTGAAAAGTTTTGGGGGTATTTTGATCAATTTAGTTTTTTGCGAATTATTTTTTTTATATTTTTATGAGGTCCGCCTCACTAAGATGTACACACGCTCCAAATTTTAGGTCATTCCGATTTGTAGAAAAAAAATGAAACACTACTGGACAATCGTGACCGTGCGATGAACTTTGAACGGTGATGAGGGTAGGTGAAATCACTGTTCATTTTTGCCTATAGGCGTTGGGAAGACTTTTCATATATATATATATATATATATATATATTATTTCTAACCACCAAATGTAAATTTTGGAGCAATAATGTTCACTGGGCTTGTCCATTTTACACAAGCAACACAAACACGTGAATTTTTTATAGTGTTAACCATCCAAAGGAAACACATATCTCCATCACAATGAGGATCACTTCAACTTGTAAAGAACTTACTTAGAGTTCAAAAGAATGTGATACATAGGTTTATTTGATAAGTGAAGAACTGATGCAAAGGATTTTCAGGTTTATATTTCTGACGACAAATTACTTTGGTCACAAAGGCTCCTCTTTCTGTGAAGGTTATTAGCTGTACTTCTGCTCCCATTGAATTTCATTCTTGATATATTCAATTGAAATATTAGCTCATTTGTGTTTTCAGCTCATTGGGTTTCATAGAAGCCAGAAGGTTATCCACCCATGCTCCTTGTCCTGTCATTAGGAACTTAGTGGTTGTGAGTGCAGGACCCCTCTATGTTTGACTTCTCTTTTTTGTCAAGCAACTGGATGGAGTTGATGTAAATCTAGAGCCAACCATCTCAAGAAGTGTCAGTGGGGGTATATTTCTCAAGAAGTGTCAGTGGGGGTATATTCTTTGTTAATATTAATGCATTCCAATGGTTTCCTGATAATTTATTCGTAAATATCGCTTCCTTGATCAGCTTTACAATCCGCTTGCTGCTCTGTCCATTTCCATTATTATTGCCTGTTAACTCTGGTTTAGCTGCAAAGTTAGTATAGATTGCCAAATTTGAAGAATAGACTACGCAAGGATTCCAGAAATTTATGCATGCGTTCCTTTAAATGATTTCCATTGGAAAGGTAGCCATTTAATCAGTGCATTTATAGCTGGGTGTGCATCTGGTCCACTCTTTGAAATACTGGTCCACTTTGAGGTGAGGCTTTCTGATGTAAATCTGATACGTACAACTGACATGTTTCATGTCATTAAGCTCGCCTTTGGTTACTTTCTCTTTGCAGTTTGGATGTGGTCTCTTTTGCCTCAAGTGAAGACTGAAAACCTTCACTTTTTAAGGAATAGTTTCTGTATGTGTGCATCCTCTCATGGAGCAGCACATATCCTCTTATTATTGAAGCAAACTTGATCATATTTCGAATGAACAGCCATTTGATTAGATTAGATGATTTCCCAGTGGTGTGGATATTTGATTTTTAGCTTCTGTTGCAAGCAGTCTTTTACCTTAGAATGCAGTTGCTCCTTTCCCCTCTTTTCATGATAGGCGAACTTGGATTCCCTCTGCAACCCGATTTGTGAGATTTGGAGCACCAAGTTGCAGGGCCATGGGTAATAACAAAATAAACTACAAATTAGTCGCATATTGCACAAAAGTAGTTTGCAGTTTGATACTATTTTAGCTCTGGGTACAGGGTTGTATACTATAGTTTTGGGGATAGAAACTGTGATATGTTATCAGGGAGGAAAGAATAGCCTTTCTGCTCTTATAGATGTGGTCAATTTTTGAAATTTATTGTAAAAACATACTCCTATTAAACAAAGATAATGTGGACTATATCCCGTGTAGATAAGGCGACTTTCCATAAGGTATCATTTTTATTTTGTATCAGAGTCTTGTTTGTTTGTTTATTTGTAACACTTTTGGCCAATGTTATCAAATTCTCTTCGCTTTGGCCAAAGAGGCCGAAGCCTTCGGATTTCGTATTTTAGTTATAAACCGAAGAGAAGTGAAGCGTGGTGCTGTCACTTCGGTCAGGGACCGCTTCGGGCTGCTTCAATCAAATTTTGACCACTTCGTGTTTGCTTCGGCCAGCAAAGAAATAGCTATATAAATGAACTTTTTTAATTTTTTTATTTTTAATTTTTTCCATTATTTGTATTATACTAAATTAAAAAAAAAATGTCCGAAGTCTTCCCTCGAATCGGCCTAAGCACCGAATTGCTTCATTTTTCTCACCACACCGAAGAAGACGCCAAAGCAAATCTGACAACATTGCTATTGGCTGTCTCACTCGTATTATGTTGCTGAAAAATGCCTGTCCTGCTAATGTAAGTCGTGTGCTTCTACAATTGCAAGGAAAATTGTTTTTGCAGGAAGGCAGAACTTCTTTTTCCACGAAATTGGCAAGTACAAATTATTCTCTTGATGTGTCAACCCTCAGCAGGCATGCGCTTTCTACAAAATTCTCAAGTTCCATTTGAAGACATCCTGCTTGGTTGGGTGTGACAGCATGTGGTGTAAGGGCTTACCTGGATTGAAGCCAATATCTACCCTCCTGGAATGTATAGATAGTTCAACCGCAAATGAGGGAGGGAGGGGCGGAGGAAGGGAGAGGCGTGATTTTCGAAACATGGTTTGATGTCACTTACAAGTCATGGTGCATGATGAGTTGATTTTTGTATATTATGCTATTCCCTGAAACTTTACGTCTTGACTACTGAAATATGTGATCCATTGTAGTCCTATTCGTCAATAAATCAACGCACTTTTCTTCTTTTGTTGCCTCTGATTATGACATTGCTGAGGGAAATAAAATTCTTTACTTGATTCCTTTTAATGGTTTCTACAGATTGATTTCATATTGGGATCCTGGATCCACTGCAAAATGCCACATGGGATTCTCAACATATTCACTCTCGTTGGTATGCTCAACACTAGAACTGATACACCTCATCTCCTTCTTGAGGTGATCCAAACTGGCCCATCTTCTCTTGTTCTTGTTCTTGATCTGCTTCCTCGGAAAGACCTCGTCCTACACTCTGACTATCTTAAGCATTACTATGAAGATGCCGGGTTGGATCCACTGAGGCAGCAATTGGAAAAAAAACCATTTTCAAAGCCTTACATTTCTTCATCTCTCTATATTCGCAGCGTAGTATCTCCTACTGCTATTCTGTTTCAGATAAACAGTGATTCTCAAATGAGCATGGATGAGATAGTGGGTGGTGATGTGGAGCCTGTGGTTAAGCAGGTGGTGGAGACATGGTTGAGGCTTTGTTTGGAAGGAACAGGAAGAGAGTTGGAGGAGAGTGACAGAGAAAGGATACTGAGGAGAGACAATGTGATCAAAACCATAGGTATTGAGGTGGACCTTCTCTCAAACATGCCCAGATTGTTTGGTCCAGATGTAACGGCTCGTGTGGTTGATGCTTTTAGGAAGGGGGTATAGAGTTCATGTGGTAATTACCAAGTACAGCTACTGTGTAGTTATATATTGTATGTATAATTGATTCAAAAGTTTTAAGGTGTGGTTCTTAAGTCGATCAGCATTTCTGAGCTTGAACCGGATAGTGATTGTACCTTGACATAGCGAAAGGGGCCTAGGAGTACCACCCATCTGCTCCCATGGCTGATTGACACAGAAACGAGATAGGGATAAAGAGTGATCTCCCTAGGGCTAACTGTAATATTTAATACATATATGGTAATTTCCCTGCAAATTTGTTGAACGAATACAGAGAAACTTTAGCATGATACTCCTTTTTCAGTCCTTGTAATTCTTCTATGCCCCTAGATCCTCAGATTGATAGAAACGGACCTGAGTATTTGGAATTTAGTAAATTCTTACTCGGAGCACCTGGGAAACCTGAATTCTTATTTACTTTTTTTTTTTTGAACGTTGAATTCTCATTTAGTTATGTGAAAAATATGGTTGTCTGCTGTGTTATTTGAATAACTCACTAATGCCCATTTGGATGGACCAAACTTTGAGAACAGGGCTGATTTTCGTGTCCAAACATTTGAGTGCTAAGAAGAGCCTGTAAATAACGCACTTTTCAAAACTCCGCTTGTGAATAGAAGCTAGTAAAATCAAACGTCTAGAATAAAAATTAGAAAAAATTACTAAAAACCCTCTAGACCATACTTTCTATGCAACTTACTCTCACCTTAATTTTTTTTCAATTTTTTCTCTAACATAAACTTTATGTGCAAATACCCTTTGAAGAAAAAAGTTTTTTTTTTAGATGGAAATACCCTTCTCATACACAAAAATCATTTTTGTCAGATTTGACGTTGACTCTTGGACCCAGTAGCACATTATTAGAGCGCACATGTATCGGAATGTCTTAAGACAACTATCATGTTGAAATTGAGTGTTGCCGGATTGCCTTTTGCAATTGAAGGATCACCTTTTGCAACTGCCGGATTGTAGAGTCGGAGCCCTACTGTCGAATCGCATTTTACAGCGTTAGAGCTTTATTGTCGGATCGTACTTTACATAGTGCTGGAGCTCTATTGTTGAACCACACTCACAAAGTGCCGGAGGCTCTATTTTGGTAGGATAGAGGAGAGAGGTATGGGTAAGGTAAATATTAGGGAGGGTAGTTTAGGCATTTTTTTGTTATGTGAGAGAAAAAGTTAGGTTGGGGCTAAGTTGCAAAAGAAGTCTAGTGTTGGGGTTTTTTGTAATTTTTTCTAAAAATTATTTGCCTCCGTGTATACTCTCTTGGCATGGCAATGAGAGCTATCACCCATGCGAACTAGTTAATCCTCTCTTCTGCACTTCTCTCGTTAATTTTGTGGGAGAGTTTTTTTTTTGAGTTCTCTATATAAAATTATATTACAAAATGAGGTTGTAACCGTCAGATTGATTAAGATTAAATCTGGGCTGTTGGGTTAACTCTATAGCTGTTAGCTAGTGGGCTAACTTCAAATTCTCCCATATAGTAAAAAGTGTTGTTTGCCCACTAGCAATGGTCTAAATTGAATGTGGGCCAATCTAATGGTCACAATTGTATTTCATATTTTATTTTTAAGTTTTTTTCTATAAATCCAAATCACTTAAAATTTTGAGTATCTAGTATTTAAAAATAGAAGAATTTAATAAAAATATAAAAAACTAATTCGTAAAAAGTAAATTGACTAAAACTATTTTAGTTAATTTATATTTTATGAATAAATTTTTAACATTTTTATGAGATTTACCTTGATGAGAATAATAGACGCTTTGAATTTCATGTGATTTGGACTTGTAAAAAATATAGTAAAATTATATTACGAAAAGAGGTCGTAAACGTCAGATCGGCCTAAATTGTTGGGCTAACA